GGCTCTTCTCTCTACGTAGGTCCGTCTGGTCCAACTCGCGCTGCATTAGCTTACGCTGAAAACCCATTGGCGATCTTCTATTTCTTCTTGCCGAAGGAGCTGTGGCGAAAAATCGCAAATGAAACGAACAAGTTTCGCCGAGGCAGTGCGGAATCTATCGCCCAGCAGATGCGAGCACGTGCCCTTCTCCGTCGTGAGACCGTTCCGTCGACTGCTGTACTCACTACTGAGGATTACAGAAGAAAGTTGGAGCGCAAGAGCTCAATACAGCCCCATGAGATTGTTCGCTTTATTGGACTACTTGTCGCGAGAACGCTGGAGCCGCGCCGAGAGAGTCTCAGTCGTCATTGGATTACGAAGGCTGAGGGTGCACTATCCCGCGGTACATTCGGACAGTTCATGAGTCGGGATCGTTTCCACGACATTGCTCGCTACTTGCATTTCAACGACAATGCCCGGCAGCACGACAGTGCGGATCGTGCGTTCAAGATCCGTCCTGTTATTCAAGCTTTGCAGAAGACATTCTTCCGCGGATATCGGCTCGGTGCGCGAATTTCGTTCGACGAGGGGATGGTGCCAATGCGTCACCGCCGCAATCCAATGCGCCAGTACATGTCCAACAAGCCGAACAAGTGGGGTACGAAGCTCTACATGACGTGCTGCGCGGACACCGCGTATTGCTCGAGGTATGTTGTACGTTTATTACGGATATCCGGCACATGTGGCGGATATCCGTGGTAGTTTTGGTTCAGTGCATCCGTAATGTGTTCCGCACTATCCATATTGTATTCGCCTTATCGCTAACAATATGGTGTGTTTGTATGTGTAGACTGGAAATTTACTGCGGGAAAGCGAACGCTAACGAAGACGCTGTGGCGCAGCGAGCTGTGGTGAAGAATGTGACGCGCGTACTACAAGGACAGCCTTCTCAGAGGCTAATTTGTACAGACAATTTCTATACGTCAATCCCGTTATCGGACAAACTCCTCAGTATGGGGCCACTACCACGTCGGGACCATTCGCAAGGACCGGAAAGGGTGGTGTAAAGCTATTGACTTTACGCAGAAAAAGAGACCGAAGAAAATGGCCAGAGGAACTTACCGAATAGCTGTATGGAGAGATCGCCCCGAGTTCGTAGCTCTGTCGTGGATGGACAGCAAGCCAGTTACGTTTTTAGCGACTGGTTGCTCCACCCAAAATTACTCACGTCACCCGTAGAGAGCCCGGCGGATCGATCTCCCAAGTCCCATGCCCTCAGCTGGTTCGAGATTACCATGAAGCGATGGGAGGTGTGGACGTTCATGATCAACTACGCCTTCAACGGTACTCAATCCAGCGCTCCATCCGCATGCGAAAGTACTACAATACCATTTTTCTCGGCTTAGTGGATATTGCTATGGTAAATGCTTTTATCATTCACAAGATCGCCCTGCGTCGTCTCAACAAACCCGTTCCCACGCATGCCGTGTTCATGCGGCGACTACATATTGCCCTGTTGAGTCAGACAAGCGAAGATTTTGCCGGGGACGATGACTTAGCAGACCTCGTGACCGAGCCACTTCCTCGAAGCGCGCACACGCTCGAGAAGACGGAAGAGAAAAACGGAAACAAGCGCCGCCAGTGGCTCTGTAAGGTCTGCTCAGCGTACGCGGGTCCTGGCGTCCGCAGCTTCGAAACGAGCTATTTTTGCGCGACGTGCTCAAGAGTCAAGAAGGGGCGCGTTACTCTATGCAATAAGGCTCGCCGACTAGACCACGGTAGCGCTCTCACCTGCAACGAAGTATGGCACCAGAGCTGGCGCAACGGCATGGCTATTCCTGCTGAGATGCAGCACAAAATCCGGTTTGTAGAGAAGCGTAGACGCGAGGTCTGTAGCGAGAGTGAAGAAGGCTAATGAATGGCACTTGGGAATGATGTTCACATTTTGTTGTGTTGTCGTTTGGGTAATGCCCAACGGTTTTGCAGGGAGATCGCAATTGACAGTAATTAGGACGATTTTCGTACTGCCCATCTCTAACGATTAGCCAATCACATTCTCTAGGCAATCCACGTAGGGCTGCATACATGATATAAAGTACTGATTTTCCGGTATAGTTTACTTCATATGTTATAATCACGGATAATCCGGAACAGCCTTCGTATTAGAAGGGTTAAATTATTAATTTTCTCATTTCACATCGATGTATTAACTTAAGTATTGCATTTTCGGGTTCCCTGCCAGCTCGGGTCCATACTCGAAATTTGTGCGGACGCGTCCGTGCGTGCACCTTTCTGAAGCAAGACTTGAAGCACGTCCAGCTGGTTGTATCGTACTGCGAGTAGTAGTGGTGTGAGGGCCTGTACGTCGCGGATATCCGTGTCGGCGCCATGTCGGAGCTGGATTCGAGCTGCGTCTGCTCGGCCGTTGCGTGCGTACAAATGCAGCGAAGCGTTCGAAGTCCAGTCAGACATTTTTGTGCACCTTTGAACCATGACAAGTGTGTGTTCCTACTGCTCAGTTGAGTTGTGAGCGACTTAAGTGAGGGGATCCAGTGGCTACAACTCAGTGTGGTATATGGTTGAGAAAATGAGCTCATGCAGAAGCGGCAGCGATGCAGCTGAGCGCTTCCTCACGCTTTCGCAACTTCTTCAGTGAAGAAGTTGCGAAAGCTCCTCCTTGCCTGTCAAGGAGGAGGGAAGGGGGGGGGGCGTGCGAACAAGTTGACTTGAACGTTTCGCCTTGAACGTCAAGTGAAAGTTCGCGTGCGGGAGAGACCCAGTGGAGGTGAATGGTGGATGTCATCCACTGGATGAGGTCAATGGCGGACTCTTAGTGCAAGACATATTAGATCTCCTGCAGAAGGCCACATTTTGACAACGACTAGCGAAGCTCTCGAACGAAAGAACGCTAGTTTTATACGTTCGACAAAGTAGTAGAGGACAAGAGTAATGATGCTATCAACAGTATTCACCTGAATTAAACGCGAGCCTCTCTCGCTTACTCCCAGTTGGTGTCTGCACGAACACTTTCTGGAATGGCAATGGTAATTTTCATCGACGCGGCATCGCTGGCATCGGCTTCCCGACGGCAACTCCAGCCACGCTTGGACTCGTTCTTTTCATGCAGCGCTTCCAGCACCAACAGCAGATTTGGAGGAGCATGTCTTTGCTCTGCAATATCGAGAATGGCTCCGTATCCAATGGCACTTGCGTCCACCATGCCCTGCACTGTAGTATTTGGTGCAGGAACCGGAGGAGGAGCAGTGACGTTTGAAGGTGCAGAGGAGCGATTTGAAGACGGTACCGGGTCACTACTGTTTGACCAGACTGAATAACGCGAAGGCGCAGGCGCTGGCGTGGAGCTCCACGCAGACGATGACGCTGGAGCCGACGCAGTTGCCAGTCGTCCACTGTTCCCACTGGGGAACAGCGAGATGATCGTGGACTTGGCACTACGTGGTTGCACGAGTGCCTCCATGGTGTTCCAGTCACGCACCAGGGCACAAGTTACAAGAGCTGAGAAGAGATACCGCTTGGGATCGATGTTAAACTGTTCGCGTAGAGGCCCCGGTTGACACGAACTGTGACGTGTGTGAGACTTTTTGGCGTCACCGTGGTACAGCATCGAGTAGCGTAGGAACTCGCCTACAGTCATGCGATGCACGCATCTCCGAGGGAACGCTAGCCATCGTGGATCAAGCTCTAGACGCTTCACATTGGCAGTGATAGCAGCCACCCATTGACGCTGCACTTCAGGCGAGAAGGAGTCTAAAATCAACTCTTCGTTCCCAGCTGCGTCACAGATTTTGACGCAGTATGGACGCAGAGAAAACTTGCCACGATAGTCCAGAGGCTCGATCTTCATGCCTCTGGCAAGTGGGAGACTCCCCTTCTTGTTGCCTTTGCCTGTTTTATCATGGAATGGGTTCTTGGACTTCTCTAGTTTGCCTTCTTCGTGCTTAAAGTACACGATCTCCTTCTCAGTCAGTTGAATGTATCTCATCCTCCAATTGGCCTGTAAGTTGCCTACGCCTCTCGCTCGTTTGTCCAGATTCGCTGCCATAGAGCGGACTTCGGGTGCAGTGTTGGCATCTTCCTGTTCAGTCTGGAGCTGGAGCTTGGACAGTGCCACGTACTCGTGCAACAGATCCAAAATCCACACGGGGAAGCGATGACGGTAGAACTTCGCGATGTCCAGCACGTCGTCCGTCACTTTTAATGACCGACTGAGCTCTCTGTCGTAGAATACTAAGGATAACAACATGGCTGCCAGCTCGCGGTATCTCTGGGTAGCTGCGTACAGGTCTAGTAGGCCACGTAGCGCACTTAGTGACACCGTCTCGTTCGTGACCATACACTGCTCTACCAAATAGTGGACCCATTGGCTGAGCGATAACGGGAGGGCAGCTAGTTGCTTGCGGAATAGCGCGGGCGCCATCGTCTCGGACACGAAGAGCAGCACGTCCAGGATCACGGCCGAGCAGCCCGTGGCCTCCGCGGCGCTCATCAGTGCGCATTTGTCGCCGAAAGAGCGCAAAGGAAGACGGTAAAGGTCGCGGAAATCACGCACTGCGTCATCAGGCAGTTCGTTCTCGTCCAGTAGGCCTAAATGCACGCACAAGAGCTGCGCCACGGCGTCCTCCGCTGCCATTATTCACTTTGGCGTCAAATTGAAGAATCAGATGAAAGCTAGCTCAGAAAAATCAAGTTTGATAATGAATACCTTTAATTAGGGCCTACTAAGTAATTTAAAGGACGTAATAAGATAATTACTTGTAGAAACACATCATTATTAGAAAAAAAACCTTACTCAAAATCTCTTTTGAAAATTAGCAAAATTAAAAGTGGTTTTTTGTAGCTCCGGCACATTTTTACTCTTTAGGTATGGCAACCGGTACTACAGTACAAACGGGGTTCCAAAATTGTGCCACCTGAATGGGTAAGACGTGTTTTGCCCATTCAGTGTTAAGTTCGCACTTGCTAGTCAACCAGTTGTGAACGAGCGGCTGTGGGTATCCGCGATGCCTGGAGCTGCGGACGCGAAGGCGCTGGCTACGGCCATGCGCCAGACGCTTAACCTGCCGGCCACGCGCTTTCCGATGCGGGCCAATGCGGCCGTGCGTGAGCCGCAACTGCACGCGCGTTGCGTGTCTGCGGCCTACGCGGAACAGGCAGAGGACACGACGCGGCCGCTGTTCGTGCTTCACGACGGTCCGCCATTTGCCAACGGTAGCCTGCACATGGGCCACTTTTTGAATAAGACACTTAAAGATATCATTAACCGGTATCAACTTCTACGTGGCCGACGCGTGCAGTACGTGCCCGGCTGGGACTGTCACGGCTTGCCCATCGAGCACAAGGCGCTGACGATGCTGCAGCTCTCGGCCGATGAGCTGTCACCTGCCCAGGTGCGCGCACTGTCCCGTCAGCTGGCCCGACAGGCCATACAGGAGCAGCAGAAGGACTTTGAGCGCTGGGGCGTACTAGCCGACTGGTCTGGCGCCGAGGACAGCGTCTACTTGACTATGAGTCCCAGCTACGAAGCCAGACAATACGACGTGCTCAAGAAGATGGTACATGATGGCCTTATCTTTAGAGGCTTTAAGCCTGTGTACTGGTCTCCGAGCTCTCGTACGGCGCTGGCCGAGGCTGAGCTTGAGTACCAGGATGACCATGTGTCGCATGCGGCCTACGTCAAGTTCCACTTCGCCTCAATGGGTAGCAATACTAGCGAACAGGCGGCCAGTGTGCTAGCCAAGTATGGAGACCGATTGTCGGCCGTGGTATGGACGACCACGCCGTGGACCATCCCGTCCAACCAGGCTCTGTGTGTCAATGCGGACCTGGAGTACGTGATCGTACGGCCACGCAACGCATACTCATGCTATTTGATCGCCAGTGCACTACAAGAGAGTTTCGCAACGGTGCTGAAGGGAGACGCAGAGGAGGAAGTAGAACTGGAAGTGTTGGAGACACTTAATGGCTCTGATCTCGAAGGTGCGCACTTTACGCACCCGCTGGTGGATCGTGAGGCTGTAGTACTGGCGGGTGAGCACGTTACGACCGATGCCGGTACCGGCGTGGTACACACGGCGCCGGGCCACGGCCAGGACGATTACTTTGCCTGGATGGCGCACCATTCAAAGCCTGGCGAGCATCCGGACATCATCTGTCCCGTCGACGCTGACGGCTGCTTCACGTCTGACGCTGGCCGAGGTCTTGAGGGTCTGTGCGTGCTGGACGAGGGTAACATGGCGGTGATCGATCAGCTGAAGTACTCTGGCAATCTGCTTTCTATTGGAGAGTATCACCACAGATACCCGTACGACTGGCGCACCAAGAAGCCTGTGATCTTGCGTGCTACAGCTCAATGGTTTGCACGTCTGGATACGCTTCATGCGCGCGGCAAGCGCGTGCTAGAAGACTCGGTGCAGATGGTGCCGGCCAGTGCGCGTCGTCGTCTGGAGGCCACACTATCGAGCAGGCACGAGTGGTGCATCTCTCGCCAGCGCGCATGGGGTCTGCCGATCCCCGTGTTTTATCACAAGACAACAGGCGAGCCGCTGATCACAGAGGAGAGTATTGAGTACTTGCAGAGCATTGTGAAGACGTACCACGTTGAAGACGAGAACGGCGAGGTCGAACGTGAAGGCGCTGACTGCTGGTGGGATTTGTCAGTACGCGAGTTGCTGCCGGAGTCTCTTAAGAGCCAGGCTAACCAGTACGAGAAGGGCACGGATACGCTGGATGTGTGGTTCGACAGTGGCAGCAGCTGGCACGCGGTGCTTCCCGGTCTCTTGGAGCCGAACGAGGAAGGACAGCTGCGTGCTGACGTGTACCTTGAAGGCTCGGACCAGCATCGCGGTTGGTTCCAGTCGTCTTTACTGACGTCGCTGGCCATGCAGAACACGGCGCCGTACAAGAACGTCATCACGCACGGCTTCACACTGGACGAACGCGGCAGTAAAATGTCCAAGTCACTGGGCAACACCATCGTGCCGAATGACTTTATTAATGGCTGTACCATGCCTGTCCCCGTGGCCGAGAAGAGCTCGAACAACAAAAAGAAGGCCACGAAGAACAGTAACAAGCCGGAGAAGGCTCCGAAAGTGAAGCAGATGAGGGTGCCTGCGTATGGCGCGGATGTGCTTCGCTTCTGGGTGGCCACGACCGACTACACGGGCGACGTGAGTATTGGCCCAGGTGTCGTCGGTAAGGCCAGCGATGCGCTGCGCAAAGTTCGCAACACGGCGCGTTTCCTGCTCGGCAATCTGCAGGACTTCGACCCTGCACACGACGCTGTTCCTTATAGCAAGATGCCCTTCTCGCTGGATCGCTACATGCTGCACGAGGTCAACGCATTGGCGGCGTCTGTGACTGCAGCGTACGACGCCTTCGCCTTCAACCGCGCCCAGCACGCTCTGTCGCACTTCATCTCGACGGATCTGTCGGCGTTCTACATGGAGGCCACGAAGGACCGACTGTATTGTGACGCGGCCGACTCGCCGACGCGCCGGTCCGCACAGACTGTGCTGTGGCTGTCGCTGCAGGCACTTACGCGGGCTCTGGCCCCTGTGGTGCCGCATACGGCGGAGGATATTCGTCTGCATTGGGAGGCGCAGCTGCAAGGCGACATCCCGCTTGAAGACGTGCCTGGTAGCGTGTTTCTGGAGCAAGGCTGGATGCCCAGTGCCGAGGAGTGGAAGGACGACGACCTGGCCCGCGATTGGACTGCCGTCCGTCAGCTTCGCTTCGAGGTGAACCGAGTGGTGGAGCAGATGCGGCAGGCTGGACGTGTGGGTAGTCAACTCGAGTGCAACGTGTACGTCGTGGCGTCCGAGTCCGACCCGCGCGTTGCAGAGCTGTTGTCTCCTCTGACTCATACATCGGAGCTTGAAGACGTGCTTCTGTGCTCCAGTGTGGACGTTGTGGCGTCGGAGACGGAGATTGAGAGTGCAGAGCAGTTCAAGGCTACCTGCCAGCTGGCCATGGGCTCGAATGACGCCCCCATCGACGTCAAGCTCGTGCTGACTCCTGCCAAGGGCCACAAGTGCCCGCGTTGCTGGAAATACGCCCCCGAAGTAGACGCCGCCGAGACGCAGTTGTGTTTGCGCTGTGCACAGGCCACAGATCTGCGCAGTGTCACGGATCTGGCCAAGAGGTTGATTAAAGACGCGTAGACTGGCTTGGGGGCGTAAGTCGAGGTATCAATCGTAATAGAGACAACTTGAATGTGAATATTCTGGCTTTGTTCCTTAAATGATGTCAGTGTTCCAGACGCTCGTCTTCATGAGATCCGTTAATTGTTTGTGTAGTACTTGTATTTACTAGGTTCAGGTAGTCCTGTGTCAAGTTGGTCACGGTACATGTATCATGATGATACATGTACCAAGCACGACAGGACAACCTGTGGTGGCGAGGGCGGACATACGAGGAGTTTATGCTCGGAAAAGGCCACATGGTCGGCAACAGCTTATTATAATAAAGTGAACGGCTCCATAGTCGAATTATTACATCGCGCAACAGATTTAATAGCGAGCTGCCATCTCGGCAAGATCTGATTCTTCGAATTACATGTATGCATCGAACTACAGTACGACGCACCTGTACGAGTGACTTCTCGTACACGTATAATCTCTTTGACATGTCGCTAGGCGGTTCGCCCCACAACGCTTCCAAGCACTGGCATGCTGTCCAGGAGTATCGTGTTTTTTTCTTTTACTTACTTCAAGTATATTACCTTCTAAGTATTGTGCTCACTACCATTATTAATAACGCCTGCTGCTCTTTCATTCGAGAGATTCTCTAGTCGATTGTCGAAGGCACGCAAATGTGTAGGGTCTACGGTAGTTTCTACCGTTGCGATACTGAAAATGTATTGCACATCAAGCGGCGAACGACGCATGAACTTCTTCCACCATTCACCTCCACTTGGTCTCTCCCGCTATCGATGCCTTCACTTGACTTTCAAACTGACTTTCATGTCGAGCGGGGACTTGCGAATAAGCTGTTTTGTTAAAAAGCGTGAGGAAGCGCTCAGCTGCGTCGCTGCCGCTTCTGCATGAGTTCATTTTTTTAAGCAATGGTCCATGTTATCCATCATAGATTTCATATGCCATGAATCACACTGGGTTGCAGCCACTGGATCCCCTCGCTTAAGTCGCTCACAACTCAATTGAGCAGTAGGAACACACACACTTGTCATGGCTCAAAGGGGTCGCTGCAGTTGCACAGAAATGTCCGACTGGACGACGAGCGCTTTGCTGCATTTGTACGCACGCAGCGGCCGAGCAGACGCAGCTCGAATCCAGCTCCGACATGGCGCCGACACGGAGATCCGCGACGTACAGGGCCTCACAGCACTACTACTCGCAGTATGATACAACCAGCTGGAAGTGCTTCAAGTTCTGCTTCAGAAAGGTGCACGCACGGACGCGTCCGCGCCTCTGGGTACAAATTTCGAGTATGGACCCGAGCTGGGTACCTGCCTCCACTTCGCGACCGAGAGCGGCCACGTACAGATTCTCAAGTTCTTAGTGACAGCAGCAGCACTAGATGCGGACGAACGCACAAATGGAGCACAGCAAATGACACCGCTGCACTTGGCTGCACGAATCGGTCGTGCAGATATTGTACGCTTCCTGATTGGACGTCCAGAGGTAGACGTCAACGCTCTGGACACCCGTGGGATGACAGCAGTGCACCACGCTGCGACTATCCCAACGCCTTCAGCACTGACACGCCAGTAGCGATGTCAAATTCTGAGCCTCAATATCTCTTCGACGCAGCGCATGTTGAAGTTGTGGAAGCACTTATCCGCGCAGGTGCAGCACTGGACGTACGTCGGTCAAGTGACTGGGCTACCCCGTTGCGGTGTGCCATTCAAAGAGAGCATTTTCTGGTAGCGAAGACGTTGGTGGATCGTGGCGCGTACAGCGGTGTAACCTGGTGGTTACACAAGGTCAAGATGTTCGTGTCGACACCGTGCCAGCTCATCATATCGAGAGTAAGAACGGTCACAGGAAACGCCATGCACTTCGTAGAGACTCCAGTATGACAGGGTGTATGTCGGCTGACACAGACCCTATAGATTCATGACGAGATTTGTCAAGCAGGGGCTACATGTAACCAAATATAATACCGTATGATCATTGGTATGATATTTTTGATAGTAATAGTGCAATGTTTGATTCTAAATAGTAATAGTAGCTCAGATTTTCAAAAGCTAACATAATATTTTAATATTAGCTCGGAGATTTGAAGAAAAAAAATAGATACTAGATGATATTTTATGAGATTTCCCACTTAAGTAGTTCAGCACATGTTTTAATACTTATTGTGCGTTCTACTCAAATTTCCGTGCGCGGTTCTTTGAATGAATGCGCACGGAATAGTTACATGTACAAACATGTTTCGACTTGCCTTGAGAAAAACTCCACTTAGGTATGAAAATGCGACCACTCAAGTACGATCTGGTCCGCTTCAAAAGAACAGGAATTTTGAATTCGTGTGACTCACTGAAAAGGACCAAAGCGACAAATTTGGTCGGAATTCACAATAATATTTAACCAGTGGCTAACCAAACCAAATTGACATAGACGAAACTCTCCTTTTCAAATTTATATGTATTAATACTACATGTACCGGTACATTACACCGTATACTAGACGTAGTACTAATTGTACCTACTATAAAATTAAGCTGGAGAAAAGGTCCACATTTGATGAACTGTATCTTATAATACCAGTGTACTGTACTGTATGTGCACGAGCTCGAGAGCTTGAGTCAGAAAGTCCAAACTCAACGCTTCAGGTTTTTATGAACTGTAACAGCTGTCACCCCATCGTCAAGAGGTATCTGAGAAATCATAACTCCACAACCGAATGTTTTACATGTACCGGCATCATTGAGCAAAAAAAATGGAGCATCATTTTACTTTTGGCTCTTAAGACACAAGTGCTGGCCCTGACCAACCATTGCTTGTCCCTCCTTATTAATCATGCGTCCGATCTCTCTTGTGTTGCTAGCGGCATCGATAAGTGCAATCTGTAGCGCTCTCTCCGAAGTCAACGGCGGCGATACGATGATGGCCCCAGCTCTTGTTTCATCCGTTCAAGCTCGTCCACTCAACGCCAACCATAACATTGCTATCGGGAACACGAGATATCTACGTGCCCAGCCCTCCAACCAGGAAGATGAAGACCGAAGTTTCGCCGTTCTGGAAAAGATAACAACGGGAATGCTGGATGACATACTGTCCTCCAAGTCAATCGAAGCTCAAAGCAAGTTTTTATCGACCTGGAAAGAGGTGGATCTGCCTGTGGAAGTGGTGGCCAAGAGAATTCTAGAGATCGCACCGGCTGATGAAAAGTATTTGACAATCTTGACGCTGTACATGCAATTCCTGCACAACAAACCGCTGTCTGCTATTTACAAGCATGACCCACTTGAGTTTGCAAAGATCAATGACGATTTTCCGTCTTGGCGGGCCTGGTTGATGAGTGTGCTCAAGAAATAAGTACTGTACACCCAAGTTGGGTGACCCAACCACTACGTAGTATAGCCTACTAAAAAACATACCCCCTCTATGCCGATCACTTTTTGGATTTCGAATCTCCTGCGCTTTCCCGACCAGACTGGCTCCCGCTCCCAGAGTGGGAGGAGTGCTCAAACATGGAGAGATCTTTCGGGTTGCAGCGTACTTCCGTGTGGGCCGCCAAGTTGTCGAGCGAATTTGGAGGCGTGGAATCAATTCGATGGGAGATCGAGTAGCAGCCGTGGTCAAGTCAAGGAAGAGCGCATGTGGTAGGAAGAAGGTGGATCGAGCCGAGCTGTGCGAGAGAATCGCTGCAGTTCCTGTCAATGAGCGCGAAAACCAGCGTCTGCTTCAGCGCGCGTCGAACATGAGCTGCTACCTGGTTCAGCAGCTGATCAAGGAAGGCTACATACGGCGTGCGCTCAGACAGACCCGTCCACTACTTACACCCACGCACAAGTTTGCGCGCCTCCGGCACAAGGACAAGCAAGTACGAGCTGGCACTCTCCCTAAGTCACTGCCTTGTGACGCTATCTCACTCGCCAATGCTAACGCGTACATGCTGCTTCTTGCAGCGGCCCCTCACCGCCTACCGCTAAAGTTCCAGAAGCCCCACTGAGCGCCCCTTCAGAATGTGGCGATGTAGTTGCCGTCTTAGATCCGTTTTTGTATCTGTAGTTGCACGGCGGAGCATGAACGCCTGTGCCTTGCTTAGTTTCTCACTGTCAGCTCTCGGTCATAAAGCTAGCTAGCCAGTCTCTCACAAATTAATAAACGCTCAAATGAACGAGGCGGAGCGCTGCGCAAAAAAAAACAAATGGGTATCTATTTCCGAGCGGAGGTAGTACTAGTTTAAAGTAGAAGTAAAATGTTTCTAGTTCATATTGATATGATGTTAGTAGATATTGAGTATTTCAATGCCTTTGACCAGCCTGACGCTCAATTTATAATAAATAGAGGTCATTTTATTAGATCGAGGTCGATAAAAATACAAATCGATCAATCTTTAAAAGACTGACTGATAAATCAAACTACGCCAGCCAAGACGATTGCACGGGATCGATCAACCACCGAATCCACATCGATCTCCAGTGAATCGGCCCTTTTTCAATTTTGTAATGGTAAGAGCCTTGTCCAAATAGAAAATCGATATTTTTTCTTACATATTTTTTTCCTTTGAAGTAGCACTACGGTATGGAAAACGAGGTGCCGAGATTACCTCTATTTAAAGCGGCAAAAACTAATAGGTGCGGCACCTATTTCTTTTGGACAGCGACGGCTTATTTGAGAATGGATGCAGAGAAGGAGGAAGCTGCTGTGGGTAGGAAAGGCGCCTGCGACGGCGACCTGCGCTCGGAAATACCACAGTGTCGTTGGGGGGTATAAGGACCAACAGAGAGCGCCTACACTCTGCATGTGGAAGTAGGATTCAGCACCTTGTCGAAGCTGTAATGCTAGATCGACGCTGTAGTACAGCGTCGATCAGCGTCGATCCTCATAAATATTACACTACAGCGGCTGTAGCGGTATTTTCAGTCCACACACATGCTCGCAAGACGGAAACGCTGTGTTGAGAACACGTTTATGTCATCATTTGGCTGTAAATTATTGAAACCATTTTTAAAACGCGAGCATATCATATGGAGGGTAATATTACACTATTTGTTACCCCTTTGTTCGGTTGTGCGACTATAATATTTTGATATTGGGCGGCGATCACTGCCACTGTAAACAGCATCTCAATACATGTGCCGCCATCTGGAGAACTCCATCAACAATGATGTAGCTAATCATCCACGTCTTTTCATAAACAGTTTCAGCCGACACTCATTAATTCAGGGGGGGGGTTGAACTCCATACGAGATATTCTACTCTGGACACTGTTATGTCATCATTTGAAAGAGAGCCCAAAGTAGATAGATATAGGACAATCGTCTTTAATTTTTTAATCTATCATTTCACTATAAGTTTTTAGCTCTGGTGAGGTTACATTGATGTCTCTTAGTTAGACTAACGACTTCCTATGCCCGTCTTTCCCAGCGCCGCCGGTCCAAGCCTCAGTTTCCCCGTATATTCTCTCTTTACCATTTGTAGATGTTAATCCTTATCACTTGTTTCCAGTGCACTCTCCCTGCCCTGCAAGTGTGCTAGGTCCCCGGACATGTAGTTGAGTGTGTCCACCCATCGTAGCAGATTCGGAGGACTGTCCCCTTCGAAGTGAACTTGTACACTACGCTTCGTATCCATTGCTAGGTTGGCCAGACTGTCAGCCATTTTGTTGTAGCACTGTAGGCGGTGGTGCCACTTGGAACGGTTCCCAACACCACTAGGCTGTCGGCCAGTCTTCTGCTTTTCCAGTAAACTTGTTTAAGGTGAGGCGCCCTGGGTGGTTTCCTCTTGCTGTGTTGCCGAATAATCATCGCACTATCACCAATTACCTCCAGTGGAGTGAATCTCTTGCCTGCACATGCCTTGAGCCCAATGTACAGCCCCAAGTTTTCCGCTACGTTGTTGGTCGTCTTCTTGTTGGCCAGGAACAGCGTGCCGATCCAGCATACCTTCACCCTACCAGTGGGTTTCCGACCCGAATAACTATCGCTCCGCTTCCGCCTGGACCCGAATTGCCGGGGCCTCCCTATCGAAAAAGAGGAGATACACCGCTGCACTGTGTGGTGGTTCAGACTGTTTGGTCACTGAGTCACGTTTCAGTAGTGTAGTCCTCAATACAGCGTTTGCCTTAGTGCTCAAGGCGCGAGTCGACGTGCTATACATATAGGCCCGCACCGTTTCGTACCCATGGTGAAGGCTTGACTGCAATGTCGTTGCGTGGTGCCCTTCTGTCACATTGTTGTTTTTGTCAAAGTGTTCAGCTCTCCATCTCCATACTGCATGAAAATACGTGGCTGCTCCAAGTCTCCAGCAACTGTCTGTAAGTCCCTCAACTCTTTCGACGAAGGCGGCCGAAGTCGTTGTCGTTGGTTCAAGAAGGTGTTCTGCAACCTTCCATATACCTTCCGGTACCCGACTAAGCTTTAACCCAAAGATGCAGCTTTCGACTTCCTCTTCACTCACGCCTAATTCCCTCCAAGGCGTTATGAGTACCCGCCTCAGTTTCGTCGCCGCTGGGCAGCCCCAAAATACGTGGTATATGTCCGTGTCAACAATGTGTGTGCAGGTCTTGTGTGGGCAGCCGGCTTTGTTCTGGCTGACGTCGTACATGGAGAAGGCTCCCCATTTGAGTCGCAGCAGCGTTTGCTCCCTCCAAGGTCCCAGTCCAACGATTCGGCGAATACTTTTCCCAGGTAGAGCTACGAGGCCGGTAGTCGCTGCTGTGCTCGTTTCCACCCATTTGGATGCTCTTTTCTCTTTGTTGGCTACTCCTCTGCGGTGGACCGACTGGGCAATCCGCGTTTTTTAGTGCTTCCTTGTGCGCGTCCACCGCCGGCCCCCTGCCCACAGACATACGAGCCTGCTCAAACTCGGGTGAGGTCTTACCGCAAGGATCCTGAAATTGTCCTCTGAGATTGCTGTGAGATGTCTGAGAAGTGCGGTGTGACTGTCTACCTGCACACTGTGGTCCGGACCAGACGAACTAGTGTGGATGACCCCTTCAACCATCGGCCTTAGCTGTAATGTCACGGTCACTGGGTGATCCTCGGGGTGTGCCGAAAGACGTACTTCCGCTGCGTACTGGGGTTCCATGACAGTGTGCGGGTAGTTCGCCACTATTGTGGTGGCCAGCAGTTCCGCTCTCTGCCTCTTGATATTGATCGTTGGCGGTGAGGCGAAGTGGAAGGAAGCCACGCCTGCTCTTACTCTACACCAGTTCGTCATTTTTTAACCGTGATGTTCCCATTGTCTGTCAATTTACATGCGTTCTGCAAAGTTAATAGCTACCCATCTTGTGACCACACTTGGCGTGTTGCAATAGCCGCATACGGCAGCCATTCATGGTGCAGTTGGACGTGGGTCTGCTTCTGCGCGAGTGAATATTCCTGTAAGAGCGTCTCCAGGTAAGCAGTGCAGTCAATAGTTAAGGTTTCTCCGTGCCAATGAGTCGATCGGTGCAGTCGATCGTACATTGTATGGGTACTGTGTTTCCTGGATGCAGTTAGCCGTGGAAGATGATCAGGAGCGCCGGCCAGGCGAATGATGTTCCTGCCAGTATGCCAGAGTGTTGACATCAACCGTGTGTCGCCCTATCTATAAGCTTCGTGCTCTGGTGCTGTATACACAGTCGGTGCTGTGCCCCCTACGCCCTTATTGAAGAGTATATCGCCCCCTTGTGAGCATGTGTAGTACCGGTCTCCGCCCATTTGCCTACTGTTACCGCCGTCATTGCAAGCAGCTCCGTCCTGAGGTCGGATATCGTCATTCCTCCTTCCGCTCTGGGTAGTGCCGCTAGGTCTGCATCGAGCCACGCCCTCCCTCCAGTAAGATCCGTCGTGAACAATCCACACCATACGTAATTTTTGATCATTTTGGTCATGTCTTGGATGAAAACTTTGCTTGGCCATGCGTATCTTGCGATGTACAGTAGCTTCTGCACGATAATTGCTGCAGCGACAGTGCTGCGTTGGTCTATTGTAGTGATATTTTGACTTGCTAAAGCTAGTAGGACTTTGAGTTGCTGTCTTGCTACGTCCCATGACCGGTCTGTATCAGCGCTGCTCCCTTCTTGGATTCCGAAATACCTGCACTTGGCTTCCGTCGGCATGTATTGCAGTTCTCCAGATATGTGCATGTCCGGAGTCGGTACCTCTGGGTGGAGGGCGATAACCGTGGTCTTCCCTGCATTAAAATGAAGCCCTGAAGTTTTGCTGAATGTGGCGAGCTCGTTCATGAGGTGAAGAATGTTCGCTGGATTTTTGACAAAGGCCGCAGTATCATCCGCGGATCCTGCTACACGTAGCTCAAAACGTCCAGCCGCTGATTGGACTATGATCCCTTGAGTCCCTAGAAACCCGTCCAGGCTTCGGTAG